TCGCAACTATATAGTTTTGTAGCTGGGTATTCGAGGACGTGATATTTTGGGTTCCGGAGCAAATTAACTGTCGTTTTCCATGTCAAAATATTTTTTAAATAAAAATTTTTTTGCAGAAAATCATGTTTTTTTTGCAATAAAATTGTTATAAATATTAAGGATTTAATTATAATTAAATTTGGACTTCAGAATCGAAAAGAGCGATAAATTTTACGTTAGAAATGGGCTATCCTGAATTAAAAAATTTTTTTTTTCATATAAAATAACAGCTGCTAAGTGAAGGTAAATTTTTCGTTCTTGGCGGTCGTTAATGGGTTAATTTCAGTAATTTATGAAAAATTTCGTGGTAATTTACAGAAATATATATAGCGCGGACAATTAAATATTTTATTTTGGTAATTTATGGAAATTTGTGCGGTAATTTATGGAAATTTATACGGTAATTTATAGAAATTTATTTGGTAAGTTATAGTAAACTTACCGGAGCTATGATAGTTTATAATAAATATTTTGAATTTTGTTTGTTTCATTGTATATTTTTTTTTGATCAAACGTTTTTTATTCAATTCCACTACAATATACAATACTAAAATAGCAATAGAAATTGTATTTAATAGTGCACATTGCTAAAAATATTAACTTTTTTGTTTAAACATCCTGTGGGGACAGGTAAAATTTTGACGTTTTCATCCTTAAAAACCACTTTTCACGAAAAATTATAATGTTAAATACAAAAATAACTATTGGTTTTTGTTTGTAGTCACAGAAATTACCTTTTTACATTGGAATCAAAATATTATGTGAATATTATGGGTGCAGTTCCGAATAGCACATACCTCTGATTTCGATAAAACTTGGTATCCCTACGTAATTTGGTGCGCTGATTACGAAAATCATAGTGAAAATTGGCGAAAATTTAATTATCATGGTAAAAACCATAAAAAACACCATAAAATCATGGTTTTTTTCAATTATCTCGTAAAAAACAAAAAACTTCGAAAAAAGTTTTAGACGAAAGTTGTAGATCTCTAAAAAACACACATTTCATGTTTTATGCATTTTTTACCAAAAGTCATTATTTTTCGAGAAAAACGCAAAATAGTAAACACGGCCTTCGGCAGTACCTTACGCGGCAGAAGGCCGTGTTTACTATTTTGCGTTTACCGCTGCTGTAGACTCCACCCCACAATTTCTGCAAATTACTTTCGGACACATCCACCCCCTCTCGCCAAGATTTCTTAAAAAGAGAAGCGAGCAGTACCTTACGCGGCCGAAGGCCGTGTTTACTATTTTGCGTTTTTCTCGAAAAATAATGACTTTTGGTAAAAAATGCATAAAACATGAAATGTGTGTTTTTTAGAGATCTACAACTTTCGTCTAAAACTTTTTTCGAAGTTTTTTGTTTTTTACGAGATAATCGAAAAAAACCATGATTTTATGGTGTTTTTTATGGTTTTTACCATGATAATTAAATTTCCGCCAATTTTCACTATGATTTTGGTAATCAGCGCACCAAATTACGTAGGGATACTAAGTTTTATTGAAATCGGAGGTATGTGCTATTCGGAACTATATCCAATATTATTTGTGATTTTTCTTTCACAACATGACAAAAAGCAAGTTGTGCGCTACGCGCAGAATCATTCATATACATATATATCTTTGCTTTGATAATGAGGGTTCTCGAGGGTTTCTACCTGCAATTTGTTTCGTCATAAACAGCCTTCAGTTGAGGGTTTATTTTCTATTATTGTTTATATTAGATGGTCGATGATCATTTAATTACTGTCCTGGAAGGGGAAGTTGTGTCCCTCATCTTACCAACCGCGCTTGAGCTATAACCATGTGGTTATACTGGAGAATCAAAATGAAGGAGAAAATCTTTGGTGCCAGCACCTTTGGGTTAAATTAGTTTAAAACACATCGTATAGGTTTATTGTACCAAAATTATAAAACTTTAGAATATTAACATTTATATTTGGAATGTTCGTAATCGTGAAATTCTGAGAAATATGTCAAAGTAAATCAGAAAATGTTTAGCTCAGACCAAGCCTGTTGAGTAAGAGTACACCAGTTCCCTTTAAAGGACGCAATCCGTGATCGTCCGTTTTATCCACAAAGCTTTGGGTTGAGGGAAAGGACCCCGCACCAAATACATCGAAAAAAAATTCTCGGTCAAATTTTTTGTAACTTTGCAATTTTGTAGCTTTTGACCTCCTGAACAAAAAATGGTAATGGCAAAATCCAAAAAAATGGACAGATTTTTTGTAAAATGAGATTAAAGTTGAAAATTTGCAATATGATCCAGATGTATACAGTAAAAATGAGTAAAACCCAAACAATTGAATTGACTAGCTTGAAACCGGTTACTCGGGGGTATTTGGGGTCGCCGATTACGAATAATCTGTCAGTTTTTAAAAACACAAAATGGCGGATCCAATATGGAGGACGACTTTTTTAAAAATATAACGAAATCACTTGAAACTGGTTACTCGGGGGTTTATTGGGTCGCTGATGACGAATCTGCTGTCAGTTTCTGAAAATATAAAATGGTGGACTCAACATGGAGGACGAATTTTTAAAAAAACAACGAAATCACTTGAAACTGGTTACTCGGGGGTTTTTAGGGTCGCTGATGACGAATCCACTGTCAGTTTCTGAAAATATAAAATGGTGGACTCAACATGGAGGACGAATTTTTAAAAAAACAACGAAATCACTTGAAACTGGTTACTCGGGGGTTTTTAGGGTCGACGATTACGAATTCGCTGTCAGTTTTTAAGAACACAAAATGGCGGATCCTATATGGAGGACGGTTTTTTTAAATACAACGAAATCACTTGAAAATGGTTACTTGGAGGTTTATTGGGTCGCTGATGACGAAACCACTGTCAGTTTCTGAAAATATAAAATGGTGGAGCCAATATGAAGGACGACTTTTTTAAAAAAAACAACGAAATCACTTGAAACTGGTTACTCGGGGTTTTTTTGGGTCGACGATTACAAATCCACTGTCAGTTTTTGAAAATATAAAATGGTGGATCCAATATGGAGGACGTTAGAATGAAGAGCAACAAGAACGACACCGAAAAGTTATAACCCTTTTGAAAATCTTCCTTTTAATAATAATTTTTTGTTTTTGCTTAAGGCGCAAGACTTGTTTGTGGTTCAAGGCTTGCTGAAGGTTCAAACCTTATTTGAAGCTTAAAGAATTATTGTGGCTCCAGTCTTGCTTAAAGCTCCAAGATTAGTTAATGCTCAAGACTTGTTCAAGGCTCAAGGTATGTTTAATGCTCAAGGTATGCTTGGTTAATGCAGCAAGGCTCAAGGGTTGTTCAAGGCTCAAACCTTATTTAAGACTCAAGACTTAATTAAGGCTCAAAGCTTACTTGAAGCTTAAAGCATGGCTCAAGGCTTGCTTAAGGCTCAAGACTTACCTAAGGTTCAACGTTTATTTAAGGTTCAAGAGTTATTTAAAACTCAAGGCTTACTTAAGGTTCAAATCTTACATAAAGCTCAAAGCATGTTTATTGCTCACGGCTTGCTTAATGTTCAAGGCTTGTTTATGGCTCAAGGCTTTTTTAAGCCTCAAGTCTTGCTTAAGACTCAAAGCTTACTTGATACTCAAAGCATTATTATGGCTCCAGGCTTGCTTAAGGCTCCAGGCTTAGTTAAGGTTCAAGATTTGTTTAAGGCTCAAGAGTTATTTAAAACTCAAGGCTTACTTAAGGCTCAAATCTTACTAGACAATAATCATGCTCAAAGCATGTCTATTGCTCACGGCTTGCTTAATGTTCAAGGCTTATTTAAGGCTCAAAGCTTTCTTAAGGCTCAAGGCTACCTTAAGGCTCAAAGCTCGCTTAAGGCTGCAGGCTTGAAACTTGATTATGGCTGAAGGGTTGCTTAAGGCTTTTAGCTTCAAGTAATGCTTAAGCCTTTAGCAAACTTTGAGCTTTTAGAAAGGCTTTGGCTTTAGTCAAGCCTTAAGCTTTAATAAATCTTTGGACCCTAAATAAGCATTGAGCTTCAAGCAAGCCTAAAGCTGTCGTTGAGACTCAAACAAGCCTTGTTCCTTAAGCAAGCGTTGAGCCTTAAGCAAGCCTTGAGCTACAAGCAAGCCCTGATACAGCGGATTCGTAATCAGCGACCCCAAAAACCCCCGAGTAACCAGTTTCATGCTAGTCAATTCAATTATATGGGTTTTACTCATTTTTTACTGTATATATCTGGATCATATTGTGAATTTTCAACTTTAATTTCATTTTACAAAAAATCTGTCCATGTTTTTGGATTTTGCCATTAACATTTTTTGTTCAGGAGGTCAAAAGCTACAAAATCGCAAAGTTACAAAAAATTTGACCGAGAATTTTTTTTCCATGTATTTGGTGCGGGGTCCTTTGTTTTCTATTATTGTATACGTGACATAAAGGATGACCGTTTAATTCCCGTGAGTAGAAGTGGTGAACCCATACTTTACTTACCAATGGCTATGCCCGATAACGCCAGTCAGGCCTACCGCAATGTCTGCCTTACGCGAGGTCCTAAAATACGCCCGGTCCGGTATTGAACACACATAGCACCATATGTTGAGGTAAGGCTACTTCAAGGATATCTGTAAAGTATGTAAGGTTACCTCGTAACCCTGTAGTAAATGTGAGGTGGTTTAAAAATTTCCGCCTTACAGTAAGTATACATGTAAGACCCACTGTAAGCTTACACCTGAAACTCATGGTAAACTTACACGTAAAGGTTGTGGTGAGCTTACGAGTAAAGGTTGTAGTAAGCTTACAGATAAAGGTTGTTGTAAGCTTACGGGTAAGGGTTGTGGTAAGTTTACGCGTAAAAGTCGTGGTAAGTCAATCCATATTAACGTAATAATCAATAGAAAATAATTGTACAATATAATAATAATAATGGTAATAACTATTAAAAAGTACATGAAATAGTTTTATTTTTAATTCTTTATAATTTAAAATACATGTTACATTAAATTTATGTTAAAATTAACTCTAATGATTTTTTCCACTTGCTTCAAAACACCTGTAACAAATAATAACAAAACTATGAAACATAGTAACAATGCGGTAACTGACATAAAAATTACCTATTTATGTAAATTTAAACAGACTGAAAAAAAATAAAAATCCGCTGTCAAGTTTAAGTATGAATTGCTTTTTCATGGGGGAAGTATTTTTTTGTGTTCATTCCATGAACACATTTGCTTTCTCATGGGGAATATTTTTGAATTTTGAAATAATAACAATCCCATTATATTTTCAAGTAAAAGATTTACAAATAGGTCAATGGATGCGTTTTTAATTAAAATTTAAGTTGGTTATGTTAATTTTAAAGTTATATAAGAATTTAAAAAAAACAATGCTAAAAAGTTTGGTTTTTCAAAATTTTTCAATTTTAAAATGTTAATAACTTTCGACAGAATAAACGTAGAATATTCTCTAATAGGTCAAAAAATTTGTTTCAAAAAACTCTACAAGAAGAAAGAATAATATTACCAAGTGGAGAAAACACGATTTTTTCGAATATTTAAAATGTTAGAAAACTTTGAACAGAATTGCAGTAGAAAGTTCGCTAATAGCTCAAAAAATTTGTCTTATAAAACTCTACAAATTTAAAGAAAAATACTCTCATTATTTGTCTGCCGTTGAGATCTATAATGCAAAAAATAATTCAGCCCTTCAGCTCTTATAGTATGCGAGATATTTATGAAATTGTGATGTTTATAAATACACACACGGAATGATATTTTTTGAAAGTGTCATTTTTGGATTCCTGCGGTTGAAAAACATAAATATACATGAAAAAAACAAATTCGAAAAATTTTGATAAAACATTGCTTCCCATGAGGAAGCAATAATAAATAAAACAAAAATTAAAATCAATTTTTCTTACAATATATATATATAGTAAATAAAAATTTTTAGAAGGACGTTTCTTCTGTATGTATACAAATACAAAATACTCAAGAGAAATGCTTTTAAGAGTACATTTCAGCTCAAAAATTGACAAAATCAAAATTGGTTTTAAATGTACTTAATATAATGAACACAAGAAGAAAAATTTTTTAAAACCATTTACACATATTGTTAAATATTTTAATTTGAAAAAAATATGAGTAGATTTATTTAAACTTTTTTCAGCAACTCCAGATTCTTGAAAAATAATTCAAAAATTCTTAATGTGGAAAATAAAATAAAAAAATGGTGAGTAAAAGGTTTTTACAGGATATCACCTGAAATTGTTCACTAAAATATTTACCTTTACTGTACAGTAGGTTTCAATTGAAATTTTCTTACTTTGAGATTCTAATAACGTTTAACAATTTTTAAATATTAAGAAATGAAATATTACAAAAAAATTAACTTACAGAGTTTTACAGTTTTTAGAGCTCGCACCTCCTCGAGGTTATCTTAACATTTTTATTATAATGCATGTTTATATTATGCAAATGACGATATAAAAAAATCGTTTTAAAGTTGAATTGGTTCAACGACTGGAAGTCTGAGACACAATCAAACTCATAAATATTAAGATATATAAGTACAAAAAATTAGTAAAATTAATACTTACACTTGTCTGTTTTGCCGAAGCTTACAGTTCGTTAACCAAGTTCCAATTAATGTGTCTATATCCTTCGTGGACACATTGTTCTCTTGCAGTATTGATAATGCTGCTTCTTTGTATGTAACAAATTATTATTAATAATGTTTTCAAATTTTTTTGTTAATTACAGAATGTAAAATTATTTTGATTAATTATAAAATGTAAAGGAAAATTTTATAATTTCACTTATATTTCCATTTAGTAATGTGAGAATATAAAAGACTGTAAAAACTAGTAGTTTTGAATGTTTACTTTAATTTTATATGCAGTTGTGTAGTTTGTTTAATATCTCTAAATAATCCGTACTCTTTCGTCACTTACAATTACTTCTATTTTATTGTATCGTGTTTCATAATTTAAACGAAAATATCGTAAAGAGATGATAAAATAGAAAACAAAAATACTTACTGGATAGAACCATGTAGAGATTTCCCAGTCGAAAATCCTCCGCTATGTTAAGCTGCACAAAAAGTTGTTTTGAAGTATTGAGATAACCATTAGAGAATTGTGAGACAGTAGATAACTAGCTATAGAAAACTTTCAGGAAGCCTGTTATGGCCGATTTTTCGCTTCCACGGAAAGCTTGAAAATAACAAATTTTGTACGTTTTAAACAAAGCATTCAAGTAGCTTTGAGAGAGTTATCAAAGAGTTGCAGGATTTTGCATATATAAAAAGAAAGCGTTCAGGTGGCGAAAATTAAATGAAGCGTCATGGATGTTTCAGGAAACAGAGGAAAAATGACAATGATCAAAAATTAAATTTAACCTTTCTTTCCATCTTTATTTATCTCGTAAAAATATGATGTATTAGATTATTATATTTAAATATTGAAGAATTAAAGAAAAATTATTTACGTCAGACTCGGTATTTCCACAGTCTTTTTAAAAGGGTACAATTGTTTTATAAAATATCTATTAGTGATATTAAATACTTTTTTTTAAATTAATTATTATCTTCTTTCAATTAAAAGTTAGTTGTCAATTAATTTTCTATAGTGAAATTACACAATTAATATTGATTAATAATTTAATGTTTCATGTAGAATACTTTTAAAAATTTGTAAATAAAAATACGCTGTTAAATTCATTTTCATAAATTATGAAATTCTAAAAGAATAAAAAATATATTATTTATAAAAAATATTCATAAATATCAAGTATAAAAATAATAATCTTTTTTTTTAAATAATAAATATTTTGTCTTTTTTTTAAGAAATTGTATTCATTATTCAATATAAAAAGTTTTCACCGTGTTCGTATTCCTAACCCCAAATTTTTCTCAAGTTATATATAATTTTTTTCGTATATAATTTAAGTGTTTAAAAATAAACGTTTTCTTTGAAAAATAATTTTTATATAATATATAAAGAATAATTATTAATTGTATAAAACGGATTTACAAATTACTATAGAATTTTTATGATTTTTTGATTTAGTTTAATTTAATGAAATTATTCTAGTTTTCAGGAAGTGTAAAAAAGGTAATTAAATTACATATTAATTTGCAACTTGTGAAAAGCAAATAGAATTGCTTTCTTACACATTAAACTAGGCATTAGGAAAGCATTCACCAAGCAAACTGGTAGACCTTTTGCTAGAAGCTGTCCACAGATATTCAACAAGCTGTAGAAAAAGCTTCCCGTTAAGAAGTCAGAAAGCAAATATCACAGAATTTTAGGTCTAATGTATAAATAGTTGCCATGAAGCTTTTGAAACCTTCATAACAGTTACCTGAAGGCCATGTGAACCCTTCAGGGAAACTTACGATTTTCGACTGGGTTGTCTTTTTAAATATTAATTTTTTTTTGTTCTTGCCACCAAAGCAGAAAGCGTTTCCAACTTCGTACGTCATTACTTTACCGCATAACGCTGTTACAGTTAAACTAGGGTTATTATACTTCCCTACATTCCTGAGAGCAACCAACTAAAATGAAATAAATTTAAATTAGATATTAAATATTGATTGTGGGTCAATTTGTAATGATTTTCAAGATCTGATAAATAAAAACTAAGTACAAATAAAATTCTTACAAAGAATTTTTAATTAAATAAATGTAATCACCTTTTAAAAATTTTATGCAGGCGATATAACATAAAATTTTGATCACATACAATTGTATAAATACATAAATTTTTTAGATTTAAAGTTTTCCTTTAAAATTAGTATTTTTTTTTCTTTTAGAAAATACTAGTAAAAATAATATTGTAATTCTCAAATGTGAATCAATATCTTTTAGAGGTCAGAATTTTTTGGATGAACCACCTTAAAGAACGGTGTAAAATTTAAAACAAAATGATATTTTTTTAATCAAATCAAAATATAAAAATAAAAAAAAATTAAGAAAAAATATTTAAACAAAAAGATTTGGATTTTTAAGGAATTTGCATCAGGTAAATATACTGTTGGTGTCATAACACTAGACAAAAATTGGTTTGAGTAGGCAGTAAAGATTTGATAAACTGAAAAAATTCATTTTTATCTATCTTGCATGACCAAGCATTAGAAAATTTAATAGATGCAAGAAAATAAAATACTTACTACTATATTAAAAAAATCAGTATCTGGTTTAAGTTTCTGATCAACTACATCAAAAGCCTCAATAGAACATAAAGGAAATTCTTTCAATTCTGGACTCTTATGAAGAAATGAATAAGTTAACGGAAAGTTCACGGTATTACTTCCATTAGTTTGAATAGTACGAGCCATTAAATCTGTTGTTACTTCAATTTTGCTGACTTTTGTTAACATCAGTTTATCATACGGATCCACTGAAATTAAAAGATGATTGCTATGCAGATTAAAGAAACTTTTATTATTTAATAGTATTAAATAATTTACGTACAATTTTGTAAAACATCTTCATTTTGAATTTCACTCAAGTGCAATCTTTTTCCTTGCTGTTTGATCCCCTCATTTGTTTTAGGAGCAATATCGTTCTTCTTTTGAACAATAGTTTCATTTCCTATAATAAAAATACATTTTTTTCGATATAGGTTAGAAGACCATTACATTTTTCCATGATTTCAAGGGTCACTGGACACCCGCATTATATTACCTGAAGAAACTGCATTCATAGAAAGTGAAGGATGTTTAGGAACGTTTTCCTTTTGATGAATCGGTATCGGTGGATTAAATGTTAATTGAAGTTGACTGTTGCCGTCCTTCTCAAGGGATGTAGGTTTTGTTTGTTTCGTTGTGTCACATGTAAACCTTTTAGTAAACCTTTATCTTCCATAAACTTTGAGCATCCTGCTCCCTGCTCTTAATCACTGGACGTCATCACTGGCTTCATGGCTCTCCTAGATCTTGTCTTTTTCAATCTTTCTCTATTTTTTCATTGTCGGTTTCTACATCTGTTAGATTTATATAAAATTCGAGTTGTTCCTTGGCCTCCTCAAGGGTTTCTTAAAATCAATAAATATTAATATAACATTATTAGGGTTATAAATTAGTCCTACTCGATACAATATGGAAAACGTATATTAATTGCATATATAAAAGCAGCCATATAATTATGGAAAATGTTCCTAATTAAGTTTCTGGAGTTAGAAAGTCACAAAAATGCTAAATTACAGTTACGAGATATTACATAAAACTTATTAAATGAATCTTTATATTTTAAACAAAAGATATATTGTTGAGCTGACATTTGATGATGCTTAAGCTGGCACTTAGTTAACAGCACCGAATTGAACAATTCAGCTTTCTCCTCACAACTAATTGTGTATAACACAATGGAATAAAAAAAGTGTATAAACTTGATGACACAATATTATTAAACTGTTTTTGATTAAGGTAATTATTTTAGAAGAAAAAATGTCTTTCCTTAATGAAATTTAATTTTTCTGAATTTAAAGGAATATCATGTGAAAAACAAAAATTAAATGATTCGGTTTATTTATTTATCAATAATTTAACAATATTTTTTTTTCGAAAAAAATTTTAATTTCTGGTTACAATTTTTTTTAATGAAATGCTATAAAAATTGTTTTTGGAAATAAAGTCTTCACCAACATAACTGTTTTATATTTAAATGAATGTACAATGTCTACATAGTAGAAACAAAAATATTCGAAAAACAACCAAGAATCGGATAAACGGCGGCATCGGGACAGAAATTCTTAGTCAAACCACGTCTATAGGACTTTTTGTTACTTTTTTACGACTTTGCTGTTCGTTCTTCGTAAATTGAAAAGTTTTCAAAAACTTTTTGATTTACCCTGATCGGAATAAGGTTGATAGCAATGTCCAAAATAAAGAGTAGGCCTACTGTTACTTATTACCACACTGTTAGTAAATATCCCATTTGACGTTGTTAGACTTTTTTACCCTTATATTATTTATAAATCTTTAAACATATTACACTTAAATTTATATTTCTTATAATCACCTGAATTATTGTTGAGGTGAGAAATAGATTTTTTATCTAAAATTTATTACATAATTGATCACAATAATAAAGATAGTGGACTGTTTGATTAGAAATGGTTATTGTATATTGAGATGGAAAAATTTAATTTAGAATGTTTTGAAATGGTTTTTTTAAAGTGGTGTAGAATTGTTTTTAAAACATTCTAATTTAACATTTAGGAAATCAAAAATATATGTTTTCTTAACGCGGTGCAAAAAAGACGCACTTTTTTAGCACGCCGTGCTAAAAAGTGCGTTTTATTGCACCTTGTCATGAAAAGTATCGTTCGTAACTGTAAGTAATTGCACTACATTTGCAGATTGCAAATGTTCACACTCGTTACGAAATATACTATTAAATTTTATTTATTATCAGCATTTAAGAAAAATTGTTTTTCTTTATAATACTTAAAATTTGTATGTTGAGTGTACAAAGTACGGAAACATCTTTTATTTGTTTTTAGGATATAAATGAATAGGAAATTTTGAAAAAGGCTCAACTCTAATTTTTTTTAATTTTACTTTTTTGCATTTTTGGCATTATTATATATACATTGATATTTTCTCAAATGAAGAAATTGAACCGAAATATTTGTACAGGGCAGGACATTTTTTTTCAAAATCGGTTGAATAGAACTTGAGTTATGCTGTCCAAAAATTTTAAAAACATCATTTCGAGAGAAACGCGTTAAAACATTTAACTCTTAAATATACAAATTTTTTTAAAGTTTAACACTGTATTTTCACACTTAAACTTAATGGAAAAAATTTTGCAAGACACATTTTTTATGTGCCAAAATCCGCTCTTTCGAATGGTGCATACAAAAATTTTGCAAATTTTCAAATAAACAAATTATACCTGTTTTTTAAATAAATAGCGTAAATTTCAGAAGTTTGTTTGCATTTTGTTGTGCAAATTTTGCATTTTTTTGAATTTTAGTTTGTCGATTTGGGATTACATTCCTGAGGTGTTATGGAAAACAAAAATGCAAAAAAAAAGAAATATATTATATATTCCA